TAAGTGTCTCTTATTGCCTTCGTATTTTGTCTATTTTTATCATTGCTGAGTGAGCCATAGGCCTATTTTTCCCAAAAGTGTGTCTAAATGCTTGAAATATTTTTAGCTTTGATGAGTTATGGATCCGCTATTAGTCTATGTCTGTGCTCTTCACAAGGCACTTCGTCTACCTAATTACTAAGTCTATCTTTTTTTGGTATTGGTTCGACTTTGTTTTCGCAACTTGGTCGGAGCGTCAGGGAGACATCTTTTTTTACTTATTAATTCATTACTTCCAAGTCCATATCTCATCTTATATATTACCATAATGTTTAGTATCCAAAGCTTTCATCTCAGGCCTATAGGTATAATAAAAATATGGCCCGACTAAAAGCGATTCGTATTTTATTACTCTTTTTCAGCCGAAGCTCAGTCTATTGGGGTTGCCCAGGCTACCTCGGTCGACGGTAGCAGTCTGGATGGCACGACTCCTGCCTCTAGTCTTCTTGGCGCTGGACTCGCTGGCTCTACTTCATTTGGCTCTGGGGTTTCAACTACAGTTCCTGTAATTACCGCCAGTGGTGGTAATTGCGGCCGAGTCGGCTCCGGTGGAGGAGGTAGGCTGACTGGCGAAACTGCACTGGCCAGCGCATCGGCTGAGGCTGTTTCCGCTTTCGTTGAACGTGCATCGGCGGACGATATAGATGCCCCTGGTGGCATTCCAAGGCGACGCACACGACGTGCAAGTGGTGCAGCTGCTGCCGCAGCAGCAGCTGCTGCACTGTCATCTGCGACCTCAAGTGTCTTGGCTAATGGGCAAGTTATCACTCCGGCTGCTCAAGATTCATTGGGCATGGGCGTGAAACCGGCCTCGACAGAAGGTCTTTCCAGTGGGTTTTTTCTTATTTTTTAAATTAATCATAATATAATTTATGTTTTGGGGTGGAAAATGTATTGACTCAGCTAAGCAATTCTATTAAGTCATTTCCAAAGTTGACAATTCTCTCCATCAGAGACAAGCCACAATGAAGATAGAATGCTGGAAGCTAAAATGACACTTGATAGCTATTATGAAGATCATAAAATTCAAACATTCCGATTGGATAAGATAAATAGTTTATTTGACCTCGGTTTTGAAAGCTGTCACTGTCTGTCCCAAATTCTTATGCCTTTCTTTTTTTGGAAAATCTCATTCACAGAAAATACGTGGATTTTTAAGTATGGTCAAACTTCTCATCATGTTTATAGTGCAGTTATCGACAATAAAAACATGTATTTTTCTATTACCATTGACTACTGTACCTATATTTAGATAAGGTCGATTTTCGAGATTATCACTAAGTCGTGAACTAACTATAACTCTTATTAAGATTTACTTATAGCTTTATACCTTTATATATAAGTAGAAAAATACATGTTTACGTGATCAGCAATTCCCTATAAATGTGATATGGGAAACACCTTAAAGAATCACATCTGCCCTGTGACCTTGGGTCACTTGGAATTGTGGCGCGGTGGTACTGGTCCACTATACGACGCTGGAAATTATCATTGATACAACTATACGAGTGGACCATGCGTTTCCATTGAAATTCACAGCCTTGCATTACTTATTTTTCGTTTGTAAGTAGGCTTTCGGGGCAACC